GCTTAACCCTTGAACTTACAAATTTTTTTACGGTATCAAGATTTGCGAATCTCAAGATTTCTTGCAGTCCTCCCTAAAAATTAAGAAAAAAATGCTTTTTGATCTCGTTTTTATGCTTGAAAACGTTGTTAATGAATATTATTATGGTGGTACTTATAATTATGGTTATGATAATGATGCTGTAAATGATTATGGCGATGATAATGATAATGATAATGATAGTGATAATGATAATGATGATTATTATTATTCATCGACAGCGCAAGTGGTGCCTTCATGGAATGTTACCATCACCTACAAGACAACATCGTCATTGACAGTACGGTGGTCAACCTTCCCTTTAAATGTCCCGATCCAGCGTTTTTTAGTAAAGTATAAGGAAAAAAATTCCAACGTCAGCTTGATCTATCACGTCTCGAATTGGTATAACTCACATTACACTGGAAATACACTTAAAGGGTACACGTTTTACGAGGTTAATGTCGTTGCTGAAACTTCCGGGAACGGAACACTGTATTCTAGTGAAGCAATAACTGCAAGAACTCACGAAGGAGGTAAATATGCCAAAACAATCAAACAAACAAACAAACAAAAAGTCAATCAAGTAAGATAAAACAAACAATCAAAACCTACCAACCAATCTAAAGCCTTTTTCTGCATTTGAATTTTCGTCGACCCTCTCTGAATTTAGTCTTCCATGCAAACGGTCTGTTGGCTCGCCATACAATGAACGCGTAACGGAAACTTAACAATGTCTGCGTAGGAGGCTACACTGAATTTGGAGAAAGGTCAGTTAAATACTTAAAGATCGAACAAAACATTGTCGGGGATTTGTTATAAATTATTATTATTAATTTTTTTTTCATACCTTTCCTTTGATTTCCTCTTAATTTCTGCACGATCACCCAGCAATTTTTGGCCCTATTTCCAAATGCTTTGGAACTTTTCAAGTCTGTTTGTCTGTTTGTTTGTTTTTTAGCTTGAAAACATGAGAACAAATCAAAATAGTAGAATGAGCTGCCGCTCTTAGTTATATTTAGTCAGCCTGGGCCGAGTTGTTCAAAGCCGGGCTAAGATAACCCAGGGTTAGTGCGAGATTTGAATTCAAATTTGAAAGCTTAAAAAGCATCTCAGTTTTAATTCTTTTTGTCTACAAGTTAATGATTGAAAGCTCTAAATATAACAGAGAAAATTATCTGAGAAAATACTTTTTAACACAAGAAAGAGAAACCCGGGTTAAGCGCTAATCGGCCTTCGAACGACTGGGCCCAGGTGTATAACCTTCATTCTGATATAGAGCTTAGGTATTACTTTGACAATAGATACTCCTGGTAACCACCTTAAGGTAATTTTTTATATTTCCTTTTTTGGCGTACCTTCTCACCGATACTGTCATTTATATTTTTTTATGTCTTTATTTTGGCAGTGCCAAGAGTTGCACCCTCAGGCTTGCGAGTTTCTACGCTTCAGTTTAGTGAATTAAAGGTGCAGTGGAATCAAATACCTGAGCACAGTGTAAATGGCCGACTACTAGGATATGTGGTCATCTACGAAGAGTATCCCTATTATCGGTATAACAGAAAACGAGTCAACACAAGTAGCCCAGATGTCCATATGCTGGTGTTGAGTGGTTTGAAGGCAGCACACTCTTACAGATTCTGCGTGGCGGGGTTCACACGCACAGGAACTGGACCGCTGACACCTTTCTATTACGTCACAACAGGTAAATTGAACAAATCGAGGTGACGTGACGTCAGAAAGTTTAAAACTGAATTCGTACCACAAGCCAAAGTCGATTGGTTTCATAGCCTGCATGAACACGTCTCCTATTTTCTTTGCTGTTTCACTACAAAGATCTGAACATGCTGACGTCATTTGTTGATTTTACAATAACATTGCCTGTTTTAAACTTGCATTCAGTAAACCGCGCCTGGGAGCCTCAAAAAGAAAAACAGATTGCGTCATCATGACGTCATTTTCATGGTCTATACTCAAACGTTTCAAACGTCGTGCTACTGCCATGCTGAACTCTATTAATAAATTAGAAATACATTAGAATCATCTTAGAAGTTGTTTTTTTTTATTGTTTTTGACAAGAGCTACTTTATTGAACGTCTGAAACGAAGATGGCTGAGGTCGTTTTGCGGTCGAAGCAGCTTAGCCCGGCAGAATCATGACGTTTGAAACATGCCTCATGTACCATAGTTGTCGGCTAAACATTGCTTTGTTACTGTAGACTACACTATACACTGCTGACTGGTAGCAACCAAGGGAAGAAATACAACATTTTCATATATTATACACTGTACCTATAGTTCCTGGGGAAAAGTATATTTACAATAATTCCACTCATTTTTACGACTGGTATAAACTGGCCCTAGCACATGGTTAGCAAAATCGCAGTGTGTTTGGAATCATTTAACTAATTGAAATTAAATAACTAGTTTCATTTCTTACCGTCAATTAGGTTGCGGAGGATACACAAATCGGTCGTTTGGCCGCTTAGAGACTGGTTCCCGCAGGAGCTCGAGCTATATAACATGTACCCTTGTGGTTGGCAGAGGGGGAATAAATCAGGCAGTTGCACTTGTGTGGATACAAGATCTGTATTTGTCATATTACAGGTACTGAGTATTAATTACCTCTAATTACTTGGCACGATTCTCCAAGATTTGTTTGATTGTATGGTTGTCTTAAACAACCTCAGAAAGCCCAAAGGGATCATAAATTATGTAATTTTGCAATGGAGGATCGCATGTCGTCAGTGTGTAGTTCAAGTGTGGAAACGATCTACTTGTGGCTATCTCTGCTTTTGTCCATGACGGCGGCAACAAAAAGCATGGTAGCGGGTTCAAACCCCAGCCGGACCAACAAGGAATGTGCTGATTCCACTCCGACTAAATCTATTGAACGTGTGTGTGTATCTCAATCATCGAAGGGGTAAATTTGTTGACTTTGTGCGAAAGTTGTCTCTAACAATGATTTTAGGCGAAAGTTGACGACCTCAGCGGGCCGGAAAAAAAAAAAAAACAAAAGCTTGTTTCAATCTCGAGTCAATACCGGGAAAGGAGATTACAACCAAGGAATCCTTGACATCCGCACACATTCTAAACCTACAGAGACTTTTCAATACAGGCATTTCTCTTCCTGTACCCCTCACGGGGTCAGAAAAGGTCCCATAAAGGGCGAAGCCCCTAGCCTCCTGTAGAACCTGTAATCATTTCGTCCCGCGCCATATGGAATCCGACGAAGGACTTTTTTGAAAGTCTAACGTTCCGCTTATGATCTACTGAAAACCAGATTGTCGGAGTCGGAATCAGAAGCGTAAGAACCAAACCAATCAAAAAGCGTGGAAACGTGCATTGTGATTGCTTTACTCCTTCGTTTTAGTCTGTTCCAGGCTCCGAGATATTCGGGTCCGCTGAATTGAAAAAGCGCAAACACGAAAATAAAACGGGAGGAAACTGGGGAGAGCCTGTAATCATTTCTTTGAACGACCCGTTCCGGTATACCAGCTCGTGGTATACCCTCTGATTGGTCAGATTTGACAGATTATATCAACACTCTCAAAGCGGGTCGTTCCTGTCACACAGAAAGATGGTGTGCGGCGTCCACTCACGTGAACTAGAGGAATCCACGATAATTTCTGTGTTGAACGAATGTTTACGAGATTTCCCGCACATAGGAGTGCCAAAAAAGGACTGAGAAAACCTGCCTGGTGAACTTGGCGTGTGGAAATTTTTTTTTTTTTTGTAATCCTGCCGACCTGTTTCGGTCTTGCCTGATAACAAGGTGGTAAATAAATAACAAAACAGTCGCAAGAAGGAGTTATGTACTCGCTCCAGTCCAGACTCACATTATCTTTAGATCCCTTTAGAAGAACAACCTGGAGTTGCATAAGAGCAATCTTGACTGACTCACAACGTAGTTCTTCATATTTAAAGTAGCTTCAGTTTGAGCTGCAATCCATTCTTCGAAATTTGGATCATTATTCTGTGAATCACTATCCGTGAGAACTTAAAAACACTAACAATCCTTTGCTTTGTAGCTTTAGTTTACAAATCATATTTTTTTCAGATCAGCCGTTCTACGGAAATTATTCGACATTAGATTCTCATACAAACACTGTAATTTCTCACGCGTTTGCCTACTCGTCAAGATGGCGTCGAAAACCGTGACAAGGTCTATTATTTTGATTTATCGTTGACAAGTCCTGTCATACTTGTCAACGATGTCAACTTGGTACGCATGCCGCTGTTGAACTAAGCTAATTACGCAATTTGACAGAAATCGTGGTCTACAAGACAGTATAGTGCTCATTGTTCTTCCCTCGATTTTGGAAGTGAATGCCTCGAAAGAAGAAAAATTAAAAAAGAGCTTGTCCGTGTTCGTCCTCGACTCCAAGACGAAAGAAGACGACAAAGTCGTTTTGCCAAGCGTGGGCTTCGAAATTAGCAGAGAGCGATAAGGGCTCCTACTACAATCAAGAAAAATGGCTAAAAGAAGACAAAGCTTCTGAAAAGGCCATTGAACCTACCTCAAAATCGAGTTTTACGAGTTTCTTAGCGAGCCGAGCGAGCTTATTAGGCCGCCGAGAGGCCAAGCGAACGNTTTTTTTTTTTTTTGTAATCCTGCCGACCTGTTTCGGTCTTGCCTGATAACAAGGTGGTAAATAAATAACAAAACAGTCGCAAGAAGGAGTTATGTACTCGCTCCAGTCCAGACTCACATTATCTTTAGATCCCTTTAGAAGAACAACCTGGAGTTGCATAAGAGCAATCTTGACTGACTCACAACGTAGTTCTTCATATTTAAAGTAGCTTCAGTTTGAGCTGCAATCCATTCTTCGAAATTTGGATCATTATTCTGTGAATCACTATCCGTGAGAACTTAAAAACACTAACAATCCTTTGCTTTGTAGCTTTAGTTTACAAATCATATTTTTTTCAGATCAGCCGTTCTACGGAAATTATTCGACATTAGATTCTCATACAAACACTGTAATTTCTCACGCGTTTGCCTACTCGTCAAGATGGCGTCGAAAACCGTGACAAGGTCTATTATTTTGATTTATCGTTGACAAGTCCTGTCATACTTGTCAACGATGTCAACTTGGTACGCATGCCGCTGTTGAACTAAGCTAATTACGCAATTTGACAGAAATCGTGGTCTACAAGACAGTATAGTGCTCATTGTTCTTCCCTCGATTTTGGAAGTGAATGCCTCGAAAGAAGAAAAATTAAAAAAGAGCTTGTCCGTGTTCGTCCTCGACTCCAAGACGAAAGAAGACGACAAAGTCGTTTTGCCAAGCGTGGGCTTCGAAATTAGCAGAGAGCGATAAGGGCTCCTACTACAATCAAGAAAAATGGCTAAAAGAAGACAAAGCTTCTGAAAAGGCCATTGAACCTACCTCAAAATCGAGTTTTACGAGTTTCTTAGCGAGCCGAGCGAGCTTATTAGGCCGCCGAGAGGCCAAGCGAACGACAAATTCGCGACAGGTCCCGCGCCATAAAAAAAAAATCGGACGAAGGACTTTTTCATGACTTTTTTGAAAGTCTCTTGTAGCGGGAGAGCAGCTTCAAGAAAAACTCCAGGAAGCGGTTTGTTGTCGATTTTTCCAGGGAAGTGTCGAACTTTTTGAAAATGTATAGAGTAAAAGTTGGCTTGGCTCAAAATGAAAACTGCTCGTCGCAAATAACTAAAGATGTTTTGTCAACAACAGAAGGTTAGAACAGAGCAGAGCCTTTGAAATAAACTGTTCATCTGTTGTCGGGTTTCGTTTGTAACCTTTCCCTGCCGTGTCACTATTGTTGTCTCTTTTCTGGTATGCATCAACATTGACAGCTTTGGTGTTATAATCTGTTATAATCTCGTCACTGATAATACGCTGCCAAAAATCTTTTCCCCTGTTTTCTCGAAATGAAAATCAGGCCAAGTTGAGGGTAGGTTTTAAACTCCAAGTCGGCAACCCCTGAACCAATTTGGCTGAAATTTGGCCAACTTACCGTCAGATAGTTTTTCTAAAAAACCGTGTCTGCGAATTTTGATTTCATTTTTCGTTTTCGAGTAAGGTTATTTTTTCACAGGTAGTGCTAATGATTTGCTATCCCTGACTTCAACTGCTTATAACAAAAGAACAAACCCACATGAGAGGACACAGAGGCTTTTTTAATAGAAGTACAATCCCACGCAGAGACGTTTTCTTCGCGGGTAGCTAATCCGACTTAATCCCATTTAATATGTCGCGCTCCTCGAAAGTGCGAAACTTTTTTTGTTGTGTATTAGATTTCGGATACATTTTCTTAATCTTCATTTCGCGCCAGAATAAATTAGTTTGCGCGCAAAAGGCTCCAAAAAAAAAATCACAAGGTTCGTCCCACTTCGAGTCGCCTTCTGGAAATACGCCGGCTTGGTAGCTGGAATACATTGCCGAGGAGAAGATCTGGCATTTTTTCCTCCTTGTCGTATTTTCCCCACGAGAAATATTTATTTTTGTAGCGAGAATGCAGTGCATATCGGTGGATTTTACTTTAAGCGGCTTCGTGCAGCATGCTACTTGTGAAAGACTGAAGAGTGTCGGATTTCATCGCTCAGTTCGGGTTTACTAGTGTTGGCGAATGTAAGGTAAAAGAAACGACTACTGTTAAGGTAAGAATTGAAGTTTTTCAACTTGTAACTCGGCGAAAAATCGTGCATAGAACTCGTAAAACCCGTGAGTATTACCTCTGTTACCTAATGTCATGCGATTTCTCCCCGCTTTTTCGATGCGTGACACATATACAATCGATAAACTTGATTTGCAAAGTTAAGTATAATGTACTTATCGAGACCATTTGACGACGATTTCTAGTTATATGCTTTATTTACTTGGCTTATTCCGGCTACGTGCCAGGAGTTAGATGACAATGTTTGTGTGCTATAATTATGCAGATAATTTCTTTGTACCTTTTTATTAACCCTAGCAAAATACTCTTCTATTATGAAGGAACGTTTAACGTCTTTCGGGGCCCAATATGGGAAAAAAGGCTTGATTTTTGGCGAAACGGACTATAGCTTTTTTTTTTTTCTTTAAAGAGAGCGCAAGGCAAACGTTCGTAAGTACAGTGTACTCCAGACAAACCTAGGCTGCACTTTAGGTGACGCACCCATGAGTGCAGTGTAACCCAGTGATTATTTAGGTAAAGCTAACAAACATAGGCTTCACTTTAGGTGGCACACCCATGGGTGCAGTGTAACCCAGTGATTCTTTAGGCAGAGCTAACAAACATAGGCTGCACTTTAGGTGGCACACCCATGGGTGCAGTGTAACCCAATGATTCTTTAGGCAGAGCACCCATGGGTGCAGCGTAACCTATTGATTATTTAGGTAAAGCTAACAAACATAGGCTACACTTTCGGTGGCACGCCCATGGGTGCAGTGTAATCCAGTGATTCTTTGGGTAGAGCTAACAAACATAGGCTGCACTTTAGGTGGCGCACCCGTGGTCCGTCTCTTACAATGCTACACATTATTTTTGCTTTACTAAGTAACTACGCGCTGATGGACAATGATTTTCGACTGTGTAGCCGAAAGTTACCACTACGCGAACAGAGCGATTCTCTGTAGTTTCTGTATATATAAGAATATTACGGCAATGAGGCTCCCGAGGTCCGTTCTCGAAATCTCACAACTACGGTTTGTTTGGTTCCGAGGTTTGGTTCCGAGTCGGCCTTTTGGTGATATTAACTTTTTTTGATCCATTTTTTTTTTTTTTCGTCTTAATTTTCGCGGCCTTTGCGATGACGGCTTTGGAAGAAACTGAATATATCCGTACTGCGCTTCGTGATTTCGCAAAATTAAGGGGAATTAATTTTTTTTTCTACTAAGAAAGCGCTTTCACTTTCAGTATCGAGCCAATTATCTCGTTTATCTCGTTTTCTAAATGTCCTTGAGAACTGAACAAGGCAATATTTTATTACTTACAGCTTGAAAACCTGATTTATTTTGACCAGATCGANTTTTTTTTTTTTCGTCTTAATTTTCGCGGCCTTTGCGATGACGGCTTTGGAAGAAACTGAATATATCCGTACTGCGCTTCGTGATTTCGCAAAATTAAGGGGAATTAATTTTTTTTTTCTACTAAGAAAGCGCTTTCACTTTCAGTATCGAGCCAATTATCTCGTTTATCTCGTTTTCTAAATGTCCTTGAGAACTGAACAAGGCAATATTTTATTACTTACAGCTTGAAAACCTGATTTATTTTGACCAGATCGAAACAAAACTGACCTCTGAAATGGAAAAACAAAAGCCTTTTATTTTTGCCGTCTTCGGCCTGCCGAAGCGATCGGGTCTGGTTTGCTTTTAGATGATGACATTTGCCTGACAGAAGAGTGTCGGGAAAAACACCTCGCGCTGATCATACGTGACAAAATCCGCCGCGCCTAAGCTAATGAAGAAAAGTCTCCTGGAAAGCTCCATACAATTCCTTATAACAAAGTTATAAGGAATTGTATGGAGTTCTCCGGGATACTTACAGTGCAAGCCCCGTGTGTCTTCTCATGTTGACAAAAATCTGAGACACGGTGTTAAGAAGCGAATGCGATCTTAATTGGCTTATTCCATTTATTTTTGGCTTGCCTGGACTTAAATTTACTGAGTGACACCCACTTTCACAAAAAGCTTCTCATTTCTAAATCTCCGGCCGAGTTGATTTACCCAAAAGAACTCCTGTGGAGATTGAACTCTTTTCTCGTGTTAAAGCTTTCATTTGTTGCAAGAAATTTGCACAGCTGCTGACCACTTGAGTGAAAGTAAAGTAGATCGTGTTTGCTCAATCTCTCCCTTTTCTAATAGCTAGAGCATTTCTAGCCCTTACTTTTCTTCCACCCCAGAAAGACTTTTGAGATCTAGAAATTTTGCTACCATGGTAACAAGATGTCACACTTCTCTCTAATCTTTTCTTGACTGTTAGGAAACACAACATATCAGCGGTTTAAAGTTAATTATTATCACCATCACCATCACCATCACCATCACCATCACCATCACCATCACCATCACCATCACCATCATCATCATCATCATCATCATCATCATTATTATTATTATTATTATTACCACGTTTTTCTTCGTGTTTTAGTGAATATGTCAAAGTAACTGACGGAAATGGATCACTGGTCTGGCATAAGTATGGATATCCTTATTCGCCGGTTCTGGGATCTTTCGTTCAGGTTGGGTTCGGACATGCTGATAACATAACTATTCAGATCCATTTAAGAGGAAGCTACAGTCGCTTCAAGCTTCAATACGGAATTGTGAAGCAAGGTCTATTCTCAGGTTAGAATCTTTGCATAGAGCTAATTGAATTAATATATCGTCAGATAAAACTCTCTGATATATTAAGTTTTATACATTAGCATTATTGAAACATAACGTCGTGGCTTGCAATCGCGCTGGTTAAGGTAAGAACTAGACGAATTTTAAGAAAAAAAAAAGGCGGACTGCAGGCAGTCTAAATTGGGAAGACTTGCAGGTGTTTCCCTTTTTGATATTACTTTCATGTAAATTTGATGGTTTAGTTGCACTGATGCGTGCAGACGTTGCACAATTACCTTCAAAAGACCCTGATAAAAGCCTAGCAATATCCAAAGATATCGGTATCTCGTAAGGGTGTTTTATTTTCATTGTAATTCAATCTGTCAGCTCAACCTATCAACTGGAACGTGACCGTTGGCAACGCCTCGAGAACTTCGATGACAGTTCATTGGGAGAATTTAGCACCGCTTATCGATGATACCGTACTCTATTATATCGCAAATGCCCACCATGGTAACCTATCAGGTGTAGCTGTCGTTTCTGGAAATATGAATACTGCAAACGTTCTGGGGCTGTCAAGTTACACTGAATATCAAGTAAGAATCATCGGAATAAACAGCCTTGGTCAACCCTACAACAGCTCAAACGTCACAGCCCTGACAGAGGAAGGAGGCAAGTGTAGTATAACAATACTTACGTTAAAGGCAAGTGCGTTTAGGCTTCCTTTGTAGCGCGCTTGAATTTTCAAATTTGTTGTGTGTTGAGCTGCGGAGAACTCGTGGAGAGCGAGGCCATGTAATTTTCTTTCTTTTTTCTTTGTCCCACGCCCGTGAGATGCTGGTCATTTCATTTTTACATTTATTTCCCCGAGCTTAAAATTTACCATCTTTCATTTTTCACCAAAAACTACATTGTTTTCCCTTTTCATTTATGTTTTTGTCATGAAAATATAGTTGAAAAATATTGAATCTGATTTGGTGAGAGCAATTCAGTTTTTAGTAACCGCAGTGCAAAAATGATGGAATGTGATAGAAATATCGCAGAGAACGGATCACTGTGCCTGGCTAATAAGTAATTTATAAATAATTATGAAGCATTCAGCAAGTGCCGGAATGCGTGCGCAATTTCAACAAGATTAAACTAGATTGGGTTTCTGGTATCAGCTTGCAGTTTCTAGGGTTTCGTAGGTGGCAATTACAAACACCTTCCACTAATTTTGACTGTATGAGGTGTCTCTTTTATTTCAAATTTAATTAACATCGAGCATTTTCCAAATGCTTAAATTGAATGATTCAAATTTTGATTCGTTTTGAAAAAAAATATATATATCAAAAACAAAAACAAAAAAAACAAAACAAAACAAAACAACACACACTCACACACACACGCTGCAATGCAATGCAAAAATTTCCAATTAATTATCTGTCAATTTTATACTGTAGTTGACTGAATAATTTCGCTAATAATTCAGTAATTAGTTAATTTACAGTATCATATACTGTCATTGACTGAGTATAGAGAATACACCTATTTGAACTATAATTGATCGCCTGTGTTTGTTTTAGTCCCCAGTAGGGCACCGTCTAATGTAAGAGTGTCTAACGTACGGTTTGATCAAGTTAAAGTGCAGTGGTATCCCATCCCTCGTCAATTTGCTAATGGGCGTCTCCTTGGATACACTGTCTACTATTACGAGTATTATAATTCGTACTTGAGAAAATCGGCTAGCACCAGTAATCCGTATACTAACATGGTGATATTAAGAGGTCTCAAGGCAGCAACTCGCTATCAAATAGCCGCAGCAGCCTTTACGTCTAAAGGACCTGGAACCCAGTCTTACTGGCAGTCCATAACAACAGGTGATGTTTTATGTCATATTGCTGTTAAATTTTAGTCAATTATAAAATTCTGATTAGCGTTGATCACATTGCACAGAGAAGTCTTCTTTTCATACTCAACCTCTCTATATTTTTTTTTATAACTGTGAAAATGTGTACGAAGATAGAGCGATGAATTCTGAACAAATTTCCAAGCTTTTGCGAGACGCGCATTTACATATCGGCCAATAGATCTGTCATGTAGCGTAAAAAGTGACTTATATGGGGAGATGTTGCCTCCTGAACAGTCATTGTATTAGAAAAAGCATTACTTCAATGTTCATCAGTTCCCCGAGAGATCTGAATTCATGCTTTCGGGAGCCTGCGAGGAAGCACTGCACTTGGGGAAGTCGCCAGAAGTCACGCGAGAGCAGCACGCGAAAGGAGACGCGAGTGTGAGGTGCGGGGAAAGAAGTGGGTGCTTGCAACAATCTCTCATGAAATTTTCATTTCCGCCCCGGAAACCACAGGAAATCGCAAAGCGTGAAAACTATCACAGGAAACAAGAAATGTGTCAGCCGTTTATCGGTTACCTGCATCGGCCACGAGCCAGTGACGCTAGCGTTCCAGGAGCAAAAATATTACAATTACAATTACAAAGACAAGATTACCAAAAGAAGACAATTAGTCTGGACATTCTGATCTGGATCGTAGTCTATAATCCTTGAATTCAGCTGAGACATGTCGCTTCTCAAAGAAGCTGAATTCTCTTTAAACCGTGACCTGCCTCTAAAAAATGTTCATTCATAGCAGCAAAAGTTTTCTTTTTTTCTTGAGAAGATTGATCTTCCACGCATCCGTTTGGATATGAAATTATCTGATTTCGTCGAGGGGGAACTTTTGAACACAATAATCGCGGTAAGATTTAGTATAATTGTAATGTTTTCATGGCAACCTCATCCCACCCCCCTGATTTCCCGGTTCATATATTCCGCGGGGTTGAGATCCAAACTGAGCGGTAAAAAAAAAACAAAAAAAAAAAAAAAAAAAAAAAACAGCCACACAGTCCTCAGAAATCGTTCACCGATCACAGAAATAGAGACCGATCTTGTTCTGCGCGGGAGAAAGTGGTAATCATGATATTCCCGATTTGATGTTTTATCGTTTTATTTGAGAGATGTTTTATTTAGATACAGTAGTTTTATCAGCTAAAGCTGGTTTACATGAAAGCCGTGATAAAAAAAACAAACAAACAAACAAAAAACAAAACAAAAAAATAAATGTATATATCTATGAGCGGTTTCGGTTTCGGTTTCTGTTTTTAATTAGTTTTGAAAAAAAGAAAAATATATTTGTAAAACTAGGTATTAACCTTAAATAAAATAATTCTAAGCTAGGATTATAGTAAAGAATCAAAGAAGCTGGGAAGCAATCCGTCCAATTTAGATTTAATTATAAATAAGTTCATTGATTTGCAATCACGCAAATCCTCGGTAACTCATCCGAAATAAATGCATCCCTATAGCCAAAACGTTACTGCCAATTGGTTTTGGGAAGGAGAATTGATTTCGAGAAGAGGAGCCCCTAGTATCATAGCTGGGCCTCATTTTCAAAAATTTTGGCTTAGGTATTAAGGTGCCATATTGTTGTACACCTTGAACATTTCTACAGCGAACAGTATAAATAAATAAACAAATAATAATAAAGCATAAAGCATAATTCTGCGCACAGAAAGGTTGTCCCATGCAAGCTCTTGCAGTAGGGGGCCGGAGCTAAAATCACAAGTGGAAAAGGTTATGATCCTAGCTGCGCAGTTTTGTTGTTTTTTTAAGCTTCAGCGCTAGTTCTGAACCCAGAACCTCTCAAACAACGCTGCAATCGTCTTTTTCCGTATCGTGTTACTAAATGTACGGCAAGCATTTATGGCGGGTCAGCAAGTTTTTAGCCAGGGGTATTTCGCTTAGTCTGGGCAAAGCAGAAATGAAAAAGATCGATGCAAGCTCTACTGTTCACCTCCACTCGCAGCTTCGCCATCCGGATGTGCACCAACATGGCGTCCCCATACAAAACTCTATAAATTTGTGTAAATAATTTCTCGCTTATGAAACATTGTACTGACCTGAATCTTGGCGAGTAACTTATTTATCTCGATTCATTTCCCAGATTCTGGACTATATCTATTAAGCGGTTTTGATTTCTTTATGTTTTAATGACGTGACAGTGAAAACTAGCAATCAACAGGAGACATTTCCGATTTGCGTTGCAGGTTGTGGAGGCAGCTTAAATGAATTGTTTGGAAACTTACAAGTCGGCCGAAGATCGTACTATTCTTATTCGCTGTATTGCAATTGGAAAATTGGCAACGCAGGGATCAGCCAAGCTGTTGCACTTGTGTCATTACCGCAACTGTCTCTGTCTTATTATAGGTTAGTGTGATATATTTATGGACTGCCAATTAAAATAACAGTCAACACCCGCGAATAAATTGGATCACACCGGAAACGCACATAAACAATGGCAAAAATGATTTAACAATCAAGACTCCCCCCGCCCCTTCGGGTGGCAACATGATGACGTATCCATGACAATAACATACACAGTCAGGTTTTATTTACTTATAAAAGTTGGACGCATAATGTATTAATTTGAAGTTTTTGTTTCGTTTTTTTGTTTTTTGTTTTTGTTTTTTTTACAGTGAATATGTTAAGGTGATTGATGGCAACGGTTTCACGGTTCTCAGTCGCTATGGATACTCTTCTGTCACTCAGAAAACTTTCAGGGAAGTTTCTTTTGGGAATTCCGGAAACATCACTGTCCAGGTCTACCTAAGGCGGAGCTACAGTAACTTCAAGTTACAATTTGGGATTTTAAAACAAGAATCAGGTTAGCCTTTAATCTGCTAAATTCGTTTAATGTTGCTTCAAACCCTGCTACGGAAGCACACAACCCTGTGCACGCTTTGCAGCAAAACAAAGATTTTGGTAGTACCTCTGATTTGTTGAACATTGGTTTCAACCCATCGGAATCACTACCCAGATCTGGGTATGGGCAGTGACACGTCATCACTACGGAATTTCTGCGCTCGATGTTCAGATATCATTTTGCGGGGAAATCCCGACCCCCACCCCCATCACTCCTTTTTTCTACACTCTCCATGTATCATCGCCTGTCTTTGAAACTTACAATTATAATTAATGTCAAACTCAGAAAACCGTGAACAGGAATGTTGATTGTTTACTGGCTAATCACTGTAAAGTTCAGGAAACGCGAGCAAACCTCAAAACCATAATCTAATTACCGTTGCTGTTTGCGGTCTAGTTATCTTGCGCCTTATTGGCTTATTTCTCGCAACACAATAACATTCCATAACTAGTTCTGGTGTTCACGGTTATGTGAGTTTCACAGTAACATGTTACTATATTTTGCTTTTTTTTCTTTGCTTTTAGCATTTCCATTGGCTAACTGGAGTGTTTCCTTTGAGAATGCTACTGCAACAAGCATCCGATTCTCTTGGCAAAACCTGCAATCACTTGTTGGTCAACAATTAAGTCATTACTTCATAGTCGTCAAAGACTCATATGGTAGTCGTCTAAACGAGTACATCGTCTCAGGAAATACTACTTCCCATTTGTTATCTGGACTATCGGCATGGAGGGAATATCGGTTATCTATTGTTGGTGTAAATTATAGAGGGAATGCCTACAACAGTACAGAGATCACAGCATGGACAGAGGAAGGAGGTACGTGCATTATATTAAAAACATATTATTTTTAACCCCGTTGATTCTTTGATTTCCATAACGAAGCATTAACGCTTTCAACTCTGTTTTAGCTAAAAGATCTCTATAATGTGTCCGTCATCTTGTACATAAGGTCACGATCGCAATTGCTGTGTGCTGATTGTCTCAATTTTGCGTCAGAGTCATTCTCCCTCTACAAATGAAATGCAATTTTTTCTTAGTCCCCAGCACAGCTCCATCGTATATCCGTCTTTCAAACTTACATTTGGCTGAGGTGAAAGTTCAGTGGAATCCACTTTCCCAGTATTACGCTAACGGACGTCTCCTTGGATACAGAGTCTACTTTAGGGAATACAGATCTTACTATTATTATTACTCGTATTTGACAAGTAGTGTCAACACTAGCAGTGCTAATGTTACTATGGTGATATTGAGGGATTTAAAGCAAGCTACAACTTACCAAATCGCTGTGGCAGCTTTTACGTCAAAAGGGGAAGGACCACGCTCGTATTGGATGTCCATAACCACAGGTAATAAGCGAACCTCTAGTTAGCGGCCACACTCTATTAAGCGATCAACTACCAAAGTCCCTGAAATAATTTCCCTGAATAGCTCTGACCTGTATTAAGCGGACACCTCCATTAACTTGCCGAGGTCACCTTTTCCGTGGTTTCAACGAGTTATTTTTCATTATCTTCACCTCTATTAAACGTCAATTTGACAAGATTTACAACATTAGGGCGACAGATACAGTGCGTATGGCGTTAAGTGGTCTTTCACTTCTTGTCTTGGGGCAGATATTTTACTTTTTCGTCATCCTCATGTTCTTGAATAACTCTTAGGTTTGTCAAACCTGTATTAAACGGTCAACTTGTATTAAGTGGTCAGTAACCCATTCTCCAAGGGTGACCGCTCATTACAGGTTAGTTTTTATTATTATTATTATTATTATTATTATTATTATTATTATTATTATTATTTCGATTATTATTATTATTATTATTATTATATTATTATTATATTAGCATACATATAAAAAAAAATGGTAGTTACAGAAAATTTATAGCGATTTGCTTTTAGTCACACATGTATTTGACCACAGCAAACAGTGTTCTGTATGATAAACTCTTCGCGTAGTTATTTATGCTTAGCATTCATGCTTATCCTATAATTTACGAGTGGATGCAACCTACGTGAAGAATCCAAGAAAATGAGTATATAAATACATAGCTCACAAATTCCCGAACCAAAAAATGAAAAGAAAGAAAACAAAAGTTGTTGTTTTTAAGGTACTGTATAACCTTAAAATTGACATTGCTTGATTTACTGTATCAAATGAAAAGAGATATTGTTTGATTTGTAGGTTGCGGAGGGGTCTTGAATGAGTTGTTTGGAAACTTGCAAATTCGTCGTTCATCGTACTATAGTTCTTTTACTCTGCGATGCAACTGGAGGATTCAAAATGCAGGAATAAGCCAAGCTGTTGCTCTTGTGTCATTGCAGGAGCTGTATCTGTCTTCTTACAGGCGAGTGTGCTCCGTGCACGGAAGGGATATAATTTCTTTCCCTTTTGTTATTGTATTCTTTTACTTTTTGTATAGATAATTTAATGCTCATGAAGAGGAAGTTTTTGTTGATTCTTTAACATCTATATATTTATTCGAGTTGTTTGAAAATATGAGGCGAAAAAGATGATTTAAACATGTGAAAGTGAAAGTGAACCAAGCTCGCTGCGATTATTACACCAATCATATCAAGCAAAACAGTTCTGATCAGAGAAAGCTGTTTAATGTAACAAAGTCCCTGTTGTTTGACACCAACACTGCATCATTTCCTCGTGTTGACACTGTTCAGCTTCCCGATGATTTTGGAAATTTCTTTGCACAGAAGATTTAGAATATAAACGCGTGTTTGGCTAATTCATCTAATCGTCCGTACCATCTCTGCCTGCTACTGACATTACATGCCTGAAACAACAGTTTGACGGTTTAAGGACTCTCTCTCTCTCTCTCTCAAGACCAAGTGCGCATGTTGATTAGTAAAGCAGCGGGTAAATCCTTTCAACTCTACCCCATTCCCACTCCGATTGTTCTCAAGTTGTTGAATGTCCTATTGCCAGTTATCACTAAGCTGGTCAACCTCTGTTTTGACACCGGTCGATTCGCTGAGGCCTGGAAAGAGGTGCTTGTTTTGCCATCTCTCTAGAGGCCTGGTTTGGATCCGGACTTTGCGTTCAAAAATTTCCGTCTTGCAGTAACCTCTATTATATTTCTAAATTGTCAGAGAGGGCTGGGGCTGAGCAGTTTATGGAGCATCTGACTGCCAACAATTTACATTCTCAGCCTCAATCGGCGTATAAACAGCAACGTAGCACGGAGACGACTTTACTTAAAGTTAAGGATAGTATTTTGATGTCTATGAACGAACAACAAGTAACCTTGCTCGTATTATTAGATTTAAGTGCAGCTTTTGACACGATACATCATGATAAGCTGATTGGTCGTCTTGAGTCTGATTTGAGATAACTGACAATGCGCTTGCCTGGTTTAAATCGTATCTATCTAACCGGTTTCAGCGTTTCTCTTAAAATGGTAGACTCTCCGATCAGTTTCTTTTAAAACGAGTTGTTCCCTAAGGACCATGTCTGGGCCCTTTGCTTTTTAGTATCTCCACGCACAAACTGTTTCAGATCATTGAACGCCACCTCCCGCAAGTTCACTTCTACGCGGACGATACACAGTTATATGTATCATTCAGCCCCAATCAATCTGCGGATGCTGATTGTGCCATTAAGTCCATGACTGACTGTATCAGTGATATTAGGAGTTGGATGATTTCAGATAATCTTATGTTAAACGATGATAAAACAGATTTTTAGTGATAGGCACTAGGCAGCAGCTGGCAAAGGTTAACATCAATTGCATTAGGGTTGGGTCGACTGATGTTTGTCCTGTAACAGTAGCTAGAGCCCTAGGCTCATGGTTTGATGAGCAGCTCACTATGTCAACTGATATTAGCAAGTTATGTGGTGTTGCCTTTTTCCACTTGCATAATATCAAACGCGTTCGCAAGTATTCTTCTCGAGAATCAATGGAAATGCTTGTCCATGCATTTATTACATCTTGTGTTGATTATTGTAACAGTCCTTTGTATGGGCTGCCCAACTACTAGCGTAAAAGAGAGAGAGTTTTGAACGCCTCAACTTGGCTAGTTTGTAGTGCGCCTAGGGTTTGCCACATCTCACCCCTTCTTCGTGGTCTGTATTGGCCTCCTGTTAAAGCGCGGATACAATTTAATATACTGCTTATTACGTTCAAAGCAATTCACGGCCTTGCTCCTAAATCTCGATGCAATTTACTAACATCTAAATTGTTTTTATAAAACCTTAAATCTTAGATTTTTTCTTTCTATGCCAGCTTTTCGATCAAACACTACGTTAGGTGATAGAGCTTTTTTGGTAGCAGCGCCAACGCTCTGGAACTCTCTTCCAAAAGAACTTTGTGCGATTCCGAATGTGAACAGTTTTGAGGCGCATATTAAGACTTATCTTTTTAGAACTTTATATTGGTGATCAATTTTATATTCAGTTCTTAATGCATGCATATATATTCTTTTTATTGTTATGTTTTTTAAATGCATTATCTTTTGTTTGTTTCTTGTAAAGTAATGCAGTTGTACTGCGCAGCTAATCATTCTCGTGTTAAGTTGCACACAATAAAAAGGCACCACTGATCTAGGAACATAGTTCCTTCAAAGTAACCAGTAAACAGTTGTTTTTATCAACTTATTAAGCAATTTTGTTAGTGAGTGTACCACCTGACACCAATCTCATCGTTCTTTTCACAGTGAGTACTTAAAGATCATTGATGGTAACGGCATCACAGTCCTTAGTCGCTATAGATACTGGTCTGTAACTCAGAAAACCTACAGGGAAGTTTCTTTTGGGAATTCTGGAAACATAACTGTCCAGATCTACCTAAGGCAGAGCTACAGTAACTTCAAGTTACAGTTTGGAATTTTAAAACAAGGATCAGGTTAGCCTTTAATTTGCTAAATTCATCTAATGTTGTTTTGTTGTTTGTTTTTTGTTGTTTGTTGTTTGTTTTTTCATTGATTGTTAGAAATTATTACTGAACTATTTGAGAGATTTGTGTGTGTGTGCTGGCAACATATATTTATTTCTTGTATTCTCATTCTCTGACATTCTCAGTGATATCGTGTAACTTCAGTTGTTATTAGTTTCATGCTTCATGGTTTTCCTCTTTCTTGTTTATCGTTTTAGCATTTTCACCGGCTAACTGGAGTGTTTTCATTGACAATACTACCACAACAAGTATCCGATTCTCCTGGCCAAACCTGCAAACACTTGTCGGTCAACAATTAAGTTATTACGTTACAGTCATAAAAAATTCATATGGTAGTGGTTTAGACAGCTACATCGTCCCAGGAAATACTACTTTCCATGTGTTCTCTGGACTAACGGCTTATAGCGAATATCGGTTATCTGTTTTTGGTGTAAATTACAGTGGGAATGCCTACAACAGTACAGAGATCACAGCATGGACAGACGAAGGGGGTACGTGTATTATTTAAAGATGTTGTTCTATTTTTAACCTCGAATTATTCCCTGTAATGAATGCTCAGCGCCCTCAACTCCGTACTTGGTATTAAATCTTTAAACTGCGGCCATATTGATATATATATATAGGTCATCTCGAACTTAAGAACAGAAAATTCTTCTGAGTTGATTTGCTTAATTTTGCATTTACAATTTTCTCCCCGTACTTCAATGACATGTTAAAATGTAAAATACGATTTATTTTCACAGTTCCTAGCAGAGCTCCGTCATACATCCGACTTTCAAACTTTGAGCAGACTGATGTGAAAGTACAGTGGAATCCACTTTCCCAATATTACGCTAACGGACGTCTCCTTGGATACAGAGTCTATTTTAGGGAATACAGATCTTATTATTATTACTCGTATTTGACTGAGAGTGTTAACACTAGTAGTGCTAATGTTACTATGGTGATATTGAGGGACCTTAAGGAAGCCACAACTTACCAAATAGCAGTGACAGCTTTTACGTCTAAAGGCGAAGGACCACGTTCATATTGGNTTAACGTTTTTTCATTTCAAGGTTGCGGAAGAGTCTTAAATGAGTTGTTTGGAAAGTTTCAAGTTCGTAGATCATCATATTATAGTTATTTTACTCTGCGATGTAGCTGGAGGATTCAAAATTCTGGAATAAGCCAAGCTGTTGCTCTCGTGTCATTGCCGGAGCTGTATCTGTCTTATTACAGGCGAGTGTGCTACTTTTATCGGCGTATATAAAGGAACAAAACTTAAGGTTAAAGCTTATTTTGTTTTTAATTCGTTAACTTTAATTTATTGATCGTAATCTTCGTCTTACTTCAGCGATCTTCCTCTTCTTTCCACAGCGAGTACTTAAAGATTATTGATGGTAATGGTATCACGGTTTTCAGTCGCTATGGATACTCGTCTGTAACTCAGAAATCTTTCAGGAAAGTTTCTTTTGGGAATTCTGGAAATATCACTGTCCAGATCTACCTAAGGCGGAGCTACAGTAACTTCGAGTTACAATTTGGAATTTTAAAACAAGGCCTCCAATACGGTGAGCTTTCTTCGCAGCTACATTCATTATTTGCTGGTTCAAAGGCATTGTTGTCGGTCACGTCGCGGTTCTTATCCCCAATTTCCATGGTTTCCGCTATTAACGCCTGGGACCATTTATGACCCTCTTTGGGCGAGCACACACACACAACACACACACAAAACAAAAACAAAACAAAAGAAAAAGAAACGCTTGTATTTTTAGAGTTTCGCTGCTAAGCAAGTTCGACTAAAAAGCCAATAATACGTTGACCAAGAAAACTAAACCTAAACAATCGGGACGCACTTTGCTTTTTGTCATGATACAATCTTTAACAGTTTCCAGCCCCACGTCGATATGCTAATCTCTACAGCCACCATTATCACTGCCATTGCATTGCAACGGCGGGAATATAAACATGTGTGTTACCATTCGTTGAGTTGCGATAATATGCAAAAGATGTCAAATGAGTCTGGTGATAAGCATGCGCTTCATTTTTGATTGTGATTGAATGGAGACCCCATGTTCATCATGTGTTTGCTCTTTGGCAATGATGTTATTTCTCTTGAATCAAGGCCCTTGATTTTCGTGTATTTATACGCGCGTACTCACTTAATATCCTGAAGAATATTCGATCGTCGAAAATTAAGGCGTGTAGACTATTAATCGCCTCCTCACTTCTTATGTGGTCCCTTATCAAGCTCGACGTAAAGCTTTTAAGAGTGTCTTTCAACACAACATTAAATATTTCATGGATGTTATATTTTTTGTTGTACATGGTTTCCTGACTTTCGTAGTAATTTCATGTAATGACACGTTGAGTAACATCGTTTTAAATTATTTTGCTCTTTTTATTCTTAGTTTTTCCACTAGCCAACTGGAGTGTTTCCATTGGCTATACTACCACAACAAGCATGCGATTCTCCTGGCAAAACCTGAAAACACTCGCTGGTCAAGAAATTAGTCATTACTTTATAGTGGTCAAAAACTCATATGGTAATGGCGTAAACGGGTATATTGTCCCAGGAAATACTACTTCCCATGTGTTATCCGGACTGTCACCCTATACGGAATATCGGTTATCTGTTGTTGGTGTAAATTTTAGAGGGAATGCCTACAACAGTACAGAGAGAACAGCATGGACAGACGAAGGGGGTACGTGCAATAGATCTAAAGATGTTGTTTTATTTTTTATGTATTGTTGATCACAGGTCTATTTAAACAAACGCCAGAAACTCTTAGTTTGTGAAGAATCATCGTGTGATATAGACTCCGCACCACTCCGCTGGTCAATATCTATGAGTAGCGGAACGGTTCGGGTTCGTTCAACATTTCCGTCAGTAAAGTTTGTAAAACCGGCGAGGTTAACGTTTATCAATCAGCATTTTTGTTGTTGTTGCTGTTGTTGTTATTGTTGTTGTTGTACTTTTTGTTGTGTTGTTGATAGTACTGTAGCAACAATTAAAAACGCGAAAATTGCTTGATCCGCCATTATTTTTTTTTTGTTTATAATAACAATGTATCTTTATTCAATACTCATAAAATTGACCTATGCACAGTGCTTCACTTCAAAAAAAGAATTAAAACGAAATTTGTACCTTAACATCTGTTAGAAAAAAAAAAGAAAAGATCATAATGTCTCAAGGTCTCTTGAAATATAATCCACCGAAATGTTTCTCTACTAATTATTAATACTATTACTATTAGCAATCACTACCAATATTTTGATGGTGGCCTAATTATTTACAACAACATACCGTACCTAGAATATTCGCCTAATCAAATTCAATAACTTGAGCGTGTTACATATTCCCATTGAGCACGCTGATGACGTCAATAAACTATACTACCTCGACGTCTTGGGAGGTCATCCTCGGCCAGGGGCGGTCAGTTGGGTCCGGAAAAACGGTAGAGAGTGTCCCTGGAATGCTACTCTTAACTAACCAGTTCCACGACTCATTCGAATGCTCGGCTGTGATTGGGCACAAAAAATAGTTTTGTGCCCAGTTGGAGGCCTTCGTCTATCGTGCTGCTTTCGTGATCTTCTTATAAGCAGAGTCTTACCGTAAACTCCACTGTTCGCGTTACCTGTCAGACCTCTTTCGTGCTCTCCAAACTTCCCGGGTGCTCAATATCTTGACATACGCACGCTAACCCTTTAACCAATTGTTGAATAGTCTTCTGAGTACCGTGTGGGAGGAAATTTTTGCGTGTTCTAATTTTTGCGATTTCTCCACTGACCAGCAAAAAATGAGTTCCCGCCAATAAAAATCACGGCAAACATTTTTTCCCCAAAAAGTTTACTCCAGAGTAAATATTCTCTAACTTCAATTCGCTACATAAAAATGCACTATTGAGTAATCGTGTCTGTTCAATCACAACTTGTCTCTGATTCAGAAACAAAACGGTAGAACGAAATGCTGGTTTATTGTTTGAAAATATGTATTTCTATTGCATGAACTCAGTAAAAACGAAAATATTATCAATGTTGGGTACTGGGTACTTTCTGAAAATCGCAAAAAAAAAAACACAACAAAACAATCTGTCCTAATCGCAAAAATTAGTCTGCGCAAAACACACACACACAAAAAAACGACAATCAGCAAAAATTAACTCCCGCAAAAGTTTCGTGCCACATGGTAACGTTGTAGTTGCACTATGTAGCTTATTTTCGCCTGGGATTGTATAAAGTCGTGCTTAAAAAGAAAACAAAAAAAAAAAAAACTGGCAACCAAACAAACAAAACAATAAAAAAATCCAAAAAAGACTAATATGATGATTAATAGTAAAATAATAGATATTTTCTGCTTTCTTAGTTCCCAGCAGGGCACCGTCGTATATCCGTCTTTCAAACTCACAGCTTACTGACGTGAAAGTTCAGTGGAATCCACTCTCCCAGCAGTACGCTAATGGCCGTC